CGGGGGTGCCAGGCCACCCGCCCGCACCTCCGCGCCGGGCCTCGCGCCCCTTGCGCCGCTCCTCCGCTCGCCGCTCCCGCTCCTTCTGCTCCCGCTGCTCCTTCTGCTGCTCCCGCATCTTGCGTTCCCGCTCCCGCTTCCTCTCCAGCTGCTCCAGACGGTCTCTGGGAAGAAGCAAATGCCAAGTGTTCTTTCCCCCAACAGAAAGTTCTCTTTTTCACCCCTAGGGATTTCTGCTTGAATTTACCAACTGCCTGTTTAGGCTGTTCAGCCCACAAAGGGCTTTAAAAAAGCAGCATGTGCACAAGTGTGCCATGAGGATGCATCCCCGGAGAGCCCCAGGGCACAAGGCAAAGTGCGAACCAGCGGCCTGCCTGTCGGGGACAAGCCACCATTCTGGGGCTTGCCAACCTCCCTAAGTGTGCACACACACACGATTGGGCCTCCTTCAGCATGAAGGGCTGCAAAGGGCGCAGGAGGCCTTCTGGGGAAGGGAGAAGGGGACCACAGAGACAGGCCTGGGGCCCGTTCCCCACTCCTCCCTGGATCCTATGGCAAGAGGCCCCAGGCCTTTTCCCAGCCTGGCCAGGCGTGGAGATGAAGCAGCCACGAATGTGGCGGGTGGCAGCAGCAGGAAGCTGCGCTGGCCCAAGCGAGAGTCCCTGGAGCACAGGAGGTGCCAGCGAGCCGAATGCATGTGTGCCCAGCTGCCCTGCAAGGCAGCCGAACGGGGAGCTGATCAGGCAGTTAAGCTTCCATGCCTACAGTTAAAGTCCAAGTGCAACCCAGGAAGCTAATAGGTAAAGAAAAAGGGTCAGTGTACACAGGGAAACGGGCGCACAGGGAACAAAGCTGGCAGTGCAGACCCGGTACTGTGCCAGCCTGGGCCTGCATCCCATGTCGCCACTGGGAAGGCAGGGCACTGGGCCCCAGGCGCTGGTCTGTAAATGCCTGAGTCCAAATTAACTCAAAGTAAAGGCTGAGGCACAACGTACATGCAAAATGCAACCACTGAATTCAGTTCTTTATAAATTTATGAGAATGCACAACCACCACCACAAGCCAGTTTTAGAGCACTTCCATCACCCCCCTCGCCGCTACGCTCAGTTCCCAGACTACCCTGCATGCCATCCTTCTAACCACCTTTGATTTCCCGGACGCTTCTGCTTGCTTTGGGGTGAGTCGGCTTCCTTTTCACTGGCTTCCTCAGCTAGAAGCCTTTTCTGATACAGGGACTTAGTCAGACATCTCATTCTAGGCACTGCAGGTGCATCCCTAAGTTTTAACATATTTTGTTTTCATTCAGTTGAAAATATTTCATTTTTCCTGCTCATTTCTTCTTTGGGTCACGGCTTTTTCAGGAATAGCTCTGTAGGATTTCTAACATTTGAGGGTTTTCCCAGGTTTTTTCTATAATTTCTAATCTAATACTTTGTGGTTAAAGGGAATACTTTGTATGACCTGAAACTTGTTCTATGGCCTAGCATGTTAGTCTGTCCTGGAAAATGCCCCATGCCCTCTTGAGATGCATGTATATTCTGTAACCAAAGGCAGAGAGCTGTATGCATGTGTCTGTTAGATTGAGTTGGTTGACAGTATTTTTTAAATTTTCTATCTTTGTTGAGCTTCTCCAATTGTTCTATCAGAAACCAGAATGGAGTCTGGAAATTTCCAACTATAACCAATGAACCATCTGTTCCATGCATTGTGCCGGTTCTTGCCTCATATATGTCTGAACTCCTGTCAGGTGTGGGTTTTCCTAACGTGTTTTCCTGTTGCTGTCATGACACCTTCCACTGTTAGTACCTGCCCTTACCCTCAATACCCTGAAATCAGGAGCCACTAAGCTCCCCACAGCTGTCTTCCACCGCCTCTCTCTCCACACCTTGCTTCAAGCCTGTCTTTGGCTCTAAGATGCTCTCACAGGCAGCACACAGGTAGGTTCTGCCTTTCGTCTCATCATCTCTCCTTGTTTGGGTACAGAGACCACCTCATGTTTCATGTAATTACGGACATGGGTATGGCTGGGGTTACTTGTATTTTTTTGCTCTATGTCTTCCTTTTTTTGTTCCTGTTTCTGTGCATTGGTTTAAATAACCGTTTTTAGTATACTATTTGGTTGTTTTTCTATTTTTTAAAGTTTTAGCAGTTGCTCTAGGTATCACACTATGCATGTTAGATCAATACAAACTTGACTCTAGTATAAAGTACAACAACTATTCTGTTCCTTCCCTTCTCCTCACTGCAGTCCACACATGCTGTGTGTTACATGACAATGTGACACTTTAATAATTATTCTTTAATGCACATGTGAGAAGAAACAGACTCTTTCATGGTAATCTACACTTTCAACATTTTCATGCAGCCCAAACGCAGGTCTTGTTAACCATGAATCCCACCAGTCTATGTTCACCTGGGAATATCTTTATTTCCCCCTCACTTCTGAAGAAGATGCCGTCTCTATCCCCTGGCTCTGCCGCTTCTGATGGACACCAGCCACCACGTACTGAAACATAGACTGTTTCTCTCTTGCTGCCTTTTGAGATTTTCTCTGTGACTTTCACTATGATGTGACTGTATTTATTCTACTTGGAGTATATTCAGCTTCTTGGATATGTAGATTAAATTTTAAAAAAATTAAATATGGGAAGTTCTCAGCCATTATTTCAAAGAGCATGTTTGCGCCCCTTACCTCTGCTCTTATGGGACTGCCTCACATGGGTGTCAGGATGGCGGGCGCCACCCCACAGACCTTTAAGGCCCTGTTCATTTTGTTCTTCAGAGTGCATAGCTTCTGCCGCCACATCCTCAACTACCCCACCTACAAGCCTTGGCCGAGGCTGGGGCACTCGGTTCCTGCCAGTGCTTCTCTTCCGCAGCGCAGGGCCACACTCTCCCATCAGTGTGTCTATGCTTTCACTGAAAACTAGCCACTTCAGATGCTGTATGGCAGCAGCTCTGGACTTGACTCTCTCCTTAGCTGCTTGTTCAGCAACCAGCAGGGCTGAACCTGGGGCCTCCGTCTCCCCGAGGCTGTGGCCACTGCTGTTTCCCCCTTTGCTTTTATTTTCAGCATGGCCTCCTGGGGATCACCACCACGTCTGCACCACTGAGCTGCCAGCTCACCCTGGACAGTCAGCATGGTTGTGGTGAACACGGACGTTTCACAGGCCGGTGGAAAGCACTGTGAACAAAGGCTCTTTTCACACAGCCCTTCACACATCTGGGGGGCCCAGCTGCTGGGAATGCCACCCCTCTGCCATTCAACTTCCCTCCTCCCTGCAGGCCAGCTCTCACGCTCCTCTGGACACGGCCTCCATGTGCAGAGGTGGCCCTAGTGGTCACACCTGGCCATGTGTCCTTTCCTGGGCCTTGGGGAACAGACCTGAAGCTAACCAGATACTCTCTCAACTGGGAATCATCCCAGAGAGGCACCAGGAGACTAATGCCCAAGAGGCTGGGTCCCAGTACCCAGACTGTTTAAACAGCTGTGGGATTTCCTTCATTACTTTTCCTTTTTCTGGTGTTTGAAAGAACCACCGTCTATTTCTGCTGTGACCTAGAGAACACTAAGCAGCGCGCTCCCAGTCTTCCTGGCCTAGACCGCCTAGAACAGAGCTTGGCACAGAGCCGGCACTCCACAGACACTCGCTGGCGGAGATGAATGCCCTCCGCGTCTCCTCCCGAGCCCTGTGCCAGAACTTACACACGCACACGGGCTGTCTCCGAGGCGGCTCCTCTCTTCACAGCAACTTGAAAACAGACACGACGGAAGATGAGCTTGGCATCGCCAGTACCTGGGACCGCGCACTCCCATCCTGAGCAGCAGGCACCGTCACAGCCCTGCTTCCCCGGACCTGTTGCCGGCCAGCAGCCGGGAAAGCTGCTGCTCACCAGCTCCCTTCAGCTCCCCAACGTCGCGTGTCTGGCACAAACCATCACTCCTCGTTCTCATTCCTCCTGGGCCTCTGGCCCCCTCCAGCACCATCTCCCCCTTCAGAGGACACGTGCGCAGGGGTTCTGGCCTAAGTTAGGACCTGCTCAGTCTGGCTCCCGAATGCCGCCCCCACCAGCCTCTGTGCAGAGGAAGTGGAGAACATGTCTCCATTCCCTTCATGATCTTCTCACATCAGTTCACACCCACTTGCCTTCAAGATGCAGTAAAGACTCACGTCCCTGGCTAATACAACCCAGTGTTGCTGGCACCAGGACTATGTTCACACACCATTTCTGCACCAAAGCTGTGTATGTCCAAGTTCTTGTTTGCGTGTCAATCAAAATTATGTGTCTTCCACGGCTCTGGTGGGGCGCTGACCAGAGGAGTACCTAGGTAATGTCCCCTAACTTACCACCCCTCTCACCTTTCTCTCCGGGAATGTTCTCTTGCCATTTCCCTCCTCTTTTGTCTTTCCCATTCTCGACGAGCTTTATCCTGCTCCTCTCGATGTCGTTTCCGACGTTCATGCTCTCTTTCTTTTTCTTTCACTCTAGCGTGCTTACCTAAGAGAAATAAGAAGTGTCATACAAAGAAACCTAACTTCCAAAAACCTAATCTGAAGATACTTGGTGATAAAGAGAACATTTATTTAATTAATGATATGGAAAAGCAATCATAATTTTATATTAAAAAAAAAGATGAAGATATAAAACTATGCAGCGAGCATCCAGTTAAGAAAAAAATGTGGTTCTCACTGAATGAAACTGTAACTTAAGTCTTCTGCTTTTAATTTTCTCTACTGAATTAATTATGATTAGGTTACATTAATTTCATTAACTTAGAACAGTCATTATTCAGTCAAGACAAAAGGGAGCTCTACGAGTGGGTTCCTACACTGTGTCATGCTCCATGTTGACGAAACGCACTTCAGACAGTGGTTCATACCAGGGCAGGTCCAGCATTCCCAAGACCCCTACAGAGAGGTCTTAAGTTGGCCTGAGTCCATCATTTGGACTTTATCGACCATCTGATTTCAGTTAAAGCAAACTGGCATTGAAGGGTGTGTTTTCACCCTATACTTGTTAAATTTTACATGTAAACAAACTGCCCCACAATCATGTAACAAAGGGAAATAAAACACCAGCGGGAAAATGAAATAGCTCGTCAGAATGATGATCTACAGTGAATTCACACTTCTGGCTAAAATTTTATTCTCTCTTGTTTTTCAGTTGTACTCTGGAGCAGGCAGCAGACTGTGGAATAGCAAACAGACCTCACTTGAATGTGATACAAGAGAAAACAAATGCTTCTGTACCCCCTTCTGCTGAGTGGCTGCGATGCCTACGTTTCTCTTTTCTCTTTTCGTCTTTCCTGTGATGGGCTTTTTCTTTCCGAGACATTTGCTGGGGTGGTTTGATAGCCAAAGAATCATCTTCCTCACCCCTGGAACAGACACAACAGCATCATCACGTCATGCTGGAAAAGTAACATAAAGAGCACCTAGGGGTTATGGAGTCTCTCCAACCCGGAAAAAATGCCAAGGTTCAGAATATGAATAAAGTTGAATCTGAAACATTATTTTAAAAATTATGTTACCTATTAAGCTTATTCCCAAACTATATCAAATGCACATTCTGATGAAAAATGTAGCTGAGAAATCAATATGGTATACAGGACAAAACGCCTCTCTGAGGAAGCTTGGGGGTGATGCACGTGTCATCATGACTGTGGTGATGGTTTACAGTAACTTCAACTGACAATTATGACCCAAATCTACGAATTCACATACTGGGCGTTTTTATCTTAATTTCTAATTATTTGATGATGGATACAAGAAGCAAGCAAGGAGACACCACGGCACAGGAAGACGTGTCAGAATGTACAGGTCTTGGAAGGACTAGCTTTGCTCAGAGGCTCAGGGATCTTTTGGGGTTCCACTTTGGCTTATTTGCACCATACGTTAGCTGGTAACTTTGAACATCACAAGCATACTGCACAACTATTTTAATACTACCTAAATGGTACTGACTTGACTGAGGAATGACCGCAAAAGGAAGGAGCGCACGCTCATCTGGTCTTCTCACAGGAGGGGCTGAGGTGACAGCTGACAGCACGCAGAGGCCCACACCCGCAGGCAGGGCTTCCTCCAGTGGGCACCTCTTCTCACCTGTCTTCCATGGAGTCCTCTCTTCGGTACGGTGAGTTCCTTATTGTTATCTCCATGCGATGGTCCCTCAGCTCCCCTTCCTCAAGGGAATCCCGCTTGGAATCCCGGTCATCAGACTGAGAAGTAAGAAGAAAGCTAGTTATTCTCCTTTCCGATAAGCATAGTTTTAATGATAATCAAACCTTGTCAACATCCAAAAACAAATTTTCACATTCACTTTGAATGGACCACTATAAAATATAAACTTTCACTCAAATCCCATGACAACTTTCTGTAACCTAGAACCCAAGAGAAGTTCAAAACCAGCATATATGATGGAGAGACATTAGACTCTACGCCAAGTGTGTTAGTTGTTTATATGAACCAAAACTGTCCTTGAAGCATTATCTTCCATGCCGAGTGCTTGCACGGGAGCAGGAGAGGCATTTCTGCCAGTGCTTCTCATCGAATTATTGAAAAGTTTCTCTGAGTATTATGCAAACCAAAAAAGATGTGGAAGACTAATTTCAGTGACTTTCTATTAGACTAGAAATTACTGGAAATGGTATAGTGAATATACTAATGGTGAAATGAAAAAAATTAGTCCAATTGCACTAATGAATGACTTTAGCTTCAAAATACTTTATTCTTGAGTGTAAATATTGTCATTTATATGCAGCTTTAGTATGTTATCTGTCTTCAATGTAAACTGAGCATTTAAATGTGTTAATTTTCAGAATAGATTTTGGGCTCACCTGAGACATTTGGAAGTACAAAAGAACTTCACCGAAGAAGCGTTGTTCTAATGGAAAAATGAGGGCACAGAAATTAAATCTCCTTTAAGAAAACCACTTACTTAAAAAACATGGCTTACATTTTTTAAGCGTTTTATCTCTGCTTTCTCCTCTTGTTCCTTCCGTCTTTTCTTTTCTTGAAGAATTTCATCTAAAGTTTTCACTTTCCAAGAGTCCTTTTCATCACCCATTTGAGTTAAAACACTGCAAAAATAAAAATAATTCCAGTCACGTCAGGACACAGCGAGCGGCGCTTCGATGCCTCGCTGTGTTGGGAACACTGGCGCCCAGCCTCTGCCCAGCGCCTCGGCGCACACCTTCGCGGGGATGGTGGGCTCTGGAAAATGCGTGGATTCAAATCTCTTTCCTGTCATCCCTGTAGGATTGGGGGGACGTTCCTTTACCTCAGTTTACCACTGAGTAAACGGTTAAGAACACGCCATGTATATACTAGTAGCGTTCCGGGACTGACTGAAATCCGTTTACGAGAAACGTCTGGCTCAGCACCTGGCCCGAGCCACGCACTGGCCCAGTCAGGGGGGTGTTACAGAGACCGGGGGGCCCATCTGACGGCTGCGGCCTCCAGCACAGGGCGTGGGGAGGCCTGCGGGGGGCGCTCCAGCAGCCCGGATTCAGTCGCGCTAATCTGAGGCTCGGCCCGGCAGGGGCTGGCTCGGGGGGGAGGGGGGCGTCCGCGCCCGCCGCCTCCTTAACGCGGGGCTCCGCGCGGGGTAAGACCGGAGAGGGGAGTATCGCCAGCCCCAGCACGCGCTCCCGAGGCCCGCCCGGATCCGAGAGCCCGGGTGAGCCTTCCACCCCTGGGCCCCGACCGGTCCGGCCCGCTGCCACTCACCCCTGCGCCGCCGCCTGTCCCGGAGCCTGAGGAAGAAACAGCGCCCGGCGCGCGCCAGGAGTGTCGTCACTTCCGGCGTCGGCGCCGACTGATGACGTGAACGCAGGGCTCCTGCGGCGGATACGGGACCCAAGAAGAGACCGTGCCCAACGTGCGCCCTGTGCGCCACTTCCGTCCTCGACGCGGGCGGGTGACGAGCTTCCGAGGCTCCGGTGGGGAGCACCGCCCCACCCCGCCCCGCGGCTCCACCAGGCCTCGCACCGGTGACCCCTCCTGCGCTCCCCCGCGACCTAAAAGCCGCGAGCTTGCCGCTAAGGAAGGACCCCCAGCGATGCTACAGTTGACTCCGAGCTTCAGGATGAGAATAGAGGAAAGGGTTGCCCACCAAAACCACGTATTGGGCTCTACCTTACACAAAAGTAGGGCAGATGGAGCTGCTGGCAGTGTGGTTTTAGAGCTCCTCCTAAGGCAACGGCTCCCCAAACTGCTTGCTCAGATTCACCCGCGAAGTTTTTTGAAGACCCAACTCCCAAGGTTCCTCCTAAAACCTATGGAGGCTGATAGAATGAAAAAAATCTTACTATCTCAATTTAGTCTTTAGTCTTCAATGTCCTGAATCTCAGGGAAGAGGACGGAGGAGTGTGTTCATCCCCATTTGCTGGGCAGAAAACGGAAAATGTAGACCGTGACAAGACATGAGGACGAGAAAGGGTGCATGGAATGGGGATGTTTTTCCTCCCAGAATAAAATGTTTCCTTGCCGTATCCAAGCTCTCTTGGTTCCTGAGTTACTGGTGATCGGAAAACCTTTTCTTTACTCTCTTCATGCTGAAAACTGGTGAAAGCAACAGGAAACCGCCCTGGGTCATTTCAGCAGCATGAACACAGCAGAGTCACACAGGGAAGAAAAGTACACATTTGACATTTATTGTACTTTTGCAGAGCAAGAGTCAGATAATTGCTATCATGGTGGATTAACTTGGACAAAAATACCCAGGAAGCATCCATAGGATTAACTGTACAGCATCAATTTATTACTGTAGTAGAATAGTGACTCACTATTTAACGATTTTTTAGAAATAACTAGTGACATAAATACGGATAGGTGAAATACAAAACACGATAAACATTCTGTACAATGTACTTCTAGTTTTCCATAGTTTTGTTTGGTATAAAGCAAACATAGTTTGGCTCTGACATAGATGATTACTGACAGAATTTTCAAGTTCTTCAGTGTGGGAAAGTCACCCTACCTGTGGCTCTCAATGTGAAGTTCAAACACCCCCTGGGCAGGTTCAGACTAAACTTATACATCTCTGAACAGACTAGAAATAGCAAATTGGCTGAATGTCACTTTTCTTCAAAATTTGAAAACTGAGAAACAAAAACACTTTACCAGTTAGAACATTTCCAACTCAGTTTGGACATCTGGACATGGATCCAGTGACCATCAAACTCAGAATCAGAGCCCTCAGGAAAACTGGAAGAAACACTTGGGTTGAAGGTTTTACACCCTGAGCTGTGAGGTGAGCAGCCGACCCCAGTCGACACAACCTCACAACTCGGCTCTTGGCTCCTCCAGGACAGAGAATAGGCGGATCCACTAGCGGAGCCACGACATTCTTATTTATAAACTAGAAAAGTGAAGGTCCCAGCCACGGCAGGTATATATTTTGGGAAAGAACAGAGCCCTTAGTACAACACTGGTCTAAGACGAAAGAGGGGAAGAGGATCTCTATGTGTAATAACATCCTGATTTAATTTTTCCCGGGGAAACAGTGAAAACACTTCCAGGCCTTAGGAAGCACATCACCCGGTCAGAGGGAAAACACCTGTAATCCCCACAGCCCATCCTGAGCGGCCACCTACGGGGGAATGTGACGCAGGAAGCAGAACCCGCTGGTTTGGGGAACAGCTGAGAACTGCAAGCACAGCTGCATCTGACTGCTGTTCTTTGTGTGGCACTTTTTTATTTTTTACTGTTTGTGATTCACCACGTTTATTTTTCTAAAATTAAAGACACATTTTGGATTGTGCAAGAGTATCCTCAGCTTTCCCAGGCAGATTTCTTCAGTGCCAATATGCAGGAAATTATGAATATCAGAATTTTAAAAAGTTTTTTTAATGCTATTTGGAAGTGGAAGTTTCCTTGAAGTCAGAGATCTGCTGTCTCTACAGATGGACATAAGCAAGCAGATGACCTGACTTGTAAGCCTGGTTCAAGTGTGTTTCCAAAGGCATGGAAAATAACCCTGGACACGAACTGACCCAGGGTAAGCAATGCTCCCACACCAACATTGGGAATGGGTCTGTAACAGCTCAAGAGTAGAACATGCTACCAACACCACTAGACAGACTTAAATGAAGGGCACACCGTGTCTATATGTCAAACCAATGGCCAAGCCAGGATATGCGTGTCTGTGCCGTTCTGGAATGCCCTCGCAGGGGGCAGTGCGGAGAAGAGACAGGATTAATGGACAGAAGGGGAGCACATGCGAGGGCGGCACCTCGCACAGCCTGTGTCCCTTGGCCTCTCCACCTGGGATGAGGAAAAAAATCCCCAAAGCAGCTTTGCTGGAAATTGCCTTGCTGATAATTTAGGGAGATATTCATTTTATTTCTGATCCTAACATTTAGAAAATCAAAACAGGCTGAAAGTGGTAGGGTGGAGGGAGGGGCATGTCACAATGTGCAACTTCCTACTTTCACGTGAGTAATGGGAACTGGAAATCCCCGACAGTACTTAGAGACGGTGGTCGTAGATCTGAGTACACGCCAATGACAAAGCCTGTGGGAAGGCCAACTTGAAAATCCTGCAACAGGGTGACCAGAGACGCATATCCTGTCTGTTCACATACTGCTGTCAGCAGCCACATTCTTGAGGAGAGAGGCAGGAGCCCATCCATGGAAGCAGTGCCTTCACGCTGGTCCTAGGAGGTCAAGGCACCATCCCACCACCCTGCCACCTCCAACAAATCCACTTTAGTTTTATTTTTGGGGAACAGAAACGTGAAGAATGTCAAGTGAAGGTGAGCTTATTATGCAGGTGCCTGCCTGTCCTCTGGGTGCAGGAGGTCTGCTTTGAAGAAAGGTTGTTTGCAGTTTAAAAGGCCTCATTTTAATCCATCACCACAGCAAACTTTCAAGTAAGCAGAACTTAAGATGTGATTATTGCTCTTTGTTCCCAGGAGACCTGATCTCTAGGAGGGGCTGTTTTTATGTTTTCCAGTTGAGAAGCCAACTGGAGAACCAGTGAACAGATAGGTAGTGGGCACTGAGGCCCAAGACTGCAGGGCAGGATGTGAGGTTTCAGGAACCATTCCTCAGTCAG